CCAAGATACTGACATGCACGCAGGTGCAGACACACAGTATATTCGCACTTGTACTTGCGAACTTACTTTTTGGCAATTATTTATGAACCTGCTCATGAAACCAGCTACTTTTGTTCATTATATTTGTAATCTCTAATCAACAGCCTCTCCTAAGGACATCGTCAGCTTCTATCAGGACCCATCGAATCATCTTCATCTGGAAATCCTATCTCTTAAATACTTCACACCAGATCATCGCATGCACAGCATCAGCCTCGGCTAGTATTTTGTGAATGGTTTGAACAACCTAAGCTTTTCCCACACAACCGCCTCTGCCTATTTCTAACCACTAATCCAATATGCTCAAAATATGCCTTACACGGTGCCTGGGAGCCCCCATCCTATGCACTAAGTTTCCTTGTGCACAACATCAGCCCCTGCCCACTTTATATTCCCAACTCCTAAACTCCCTCGTACACAACATGAGCTTCTGTCGAACCTAAATCCCCAAACCATGAACTTCTCTACGCACAACATCAGCCTCTACAAAGCCCCATTGAGCCATCTAATGTGATGGATGGAAGTGTGCCTGAATTAAGGATACACCGCCCCACTGTAATCGGCTCTCCTGGTAAAACTACTCCGCGTCCGATTTTACCGTTAAAAGTGTACGATCTGGCGGGCTCGAAGTTCAATCTCGACACGGCGGTCGAGGTCGATGTTAACCCTATCAAACCCGTGGCCTTCGAGAACGATGTAAGGAATACATATACGTATACATATGCATATACATATGTCTTCATCTTTGTCAGACCCGTGGCCTGTGGGAATTTTGTAAAGAATACGTACATATATACATATACACATGTCTTTATCTATAACAAACCCGTGGCTTTGGGAACGATGTAAGGAAAACGTTTACATATACATATACATACGTCTTCATCTATATATGTATGTTTTTGCTCTAATTTTCTTCGATGCAGGTCTCATGCTAGAACAACAAATTTCCTACATGTTTTATTAGTAGGACTCTTATACGGATAGGGTTTGTTACTCCCTGTTGCTGTAAACCCTTCACAGGGTCATTTGAAGGTTCATGTTGCGGTCGTACAGTGTAGTTTTGACTGCCTGCGAGTGTTCGGTTCGTTTCCGTACCGTCGTCTTCTCTCATGGTGTCTTCTGCATTCGATATGCGATAAGCTCTGGGTACTATATGTAACATCGTTTGAGTCTTTATCTTCAAGAATAATTTGTCCTCGTCTTCACCATTTTTGCTGTTTTTGTATGCTAGTGAATGCTTCTCTATAGAAGTTTTAGGGTTTAGGGTTTTAAATCGGCTCGTTAGCAAATATGTATTTAAAAGTCGGTATTTTGCGCGTTCCGACACGTGTACTGTTCGAGGTAGCACGCCGGTTGAGCTTCAGCTGCAGCAGAATATGCCGCTGTTGTTGGCTCTCCAGTGTACTCTAAGTATCATTACGATGTACACATAGCAGTCGTATGGTTCTGTAAATACCTGTACTTCATACGTCATAGTTTTTATATGCTTACCATAGTTCTCGGAACCGAAGCACTGAATAACTGACGCTTGTATCGGAGCACTAGCTACGGCTATCCCGCAAAAAAAGCGAATTCGAATTTTTATCAAAAGAAAAAAAGATCATGTCCTCCAAAATTTATTCATTTGCTGTTAGTCTTAGACACCAATACACGAGCACACACCAGACAAGTCACCACTTTTGCGCCGCTACTTTCTGATTTTCGTATTCCTTATCCGATTGGCAGATCTTCAAGGGTCACTGCATCATCAAGTTACGGACAGAACCAATAGACCCCCTGTACTTGTCATACTTCGAGAACAAGAAGCGAACGTTTGAGTTTCAGGTAACTATGGCATACCCGAACACTGGTGTCAGTTTTGGTCTTTTTAGACTGAGTCGTCTGCACACATCGTGTTCCTTTGCTTCGTGTATCGTACTCGTTCGTCGAGATATGTATGTATTACCAACATTCGTCTCTCATTCTAAAAATAGATCCAGGGTAAATTTAAGAAGGCCATGCAGGACGACGAGAGGATCATGTTCGGTGTTGAAACCGCCGAAACCGTTAACATGGGTCTCCTGGGCCGAGGTATTTGTCGGGTGATGCTGGGGGTATGTAATCGGATCATACCTGGCAACCACTGGAGTTTTGGCAGCAGCAAAACTAAGGAGAAACCGCATATCACATTCCCCATCGAGAGTGCCATTGACAGGTGAGTATTCGACTTGGCGGGTGTTGTAGGGTCTTTAGCCGTTTGGTGGACTTCAGTGTTATGTATAGCACGTGAGGTTCTACGCGTCTGTAAGTCTACCAGTAGTTGTATCATATGAGGCAAACAATATACATAGCAAGTATATAATTAGTTGATGTATATATATATATATATATAAATATTATTATTATTATTATTATTATTATTATTATTATTATTATATTATATTATATTATATTATATTATATTATATTATATGCATATATATATATATATATATATATAATGTGTGTGTGTGTGTGTGTGTGTGTGTATGTGTGTCGTAGTATGTATGTAT